ACGCCAGGTGCACCATTGTGCCGGCTCTGACACCTGCCTGGCAGGTCGTCGGTCCTGCCCGCCGGACCCTCACCCGGTCCCAGGAGCCGCCCACTCACCTCCAGGGCATTCCCAACAGCATCCGAGCTGCCACTGCCCAGGCCACGCCAGCCCCCTCCCTCCTTTGCTCTCAGCTTGGTGAGGGCAGGGATGACAACAGTGACCTCAGAGCCTCAGTTTCTGGTCTGTAAAATGGGGCTAAGCTTGGAACCACCAAAAGGAGCCTTAGGAAGATCAGGGGCCCGGTCCAGGGGCCACGGAGAAGGCACAGGGGGAGAGGAGGGAGGCAGTTATGAGGCCCCCAGACCCAGCAGCTGAGAAGCCCAGGGGAGCTTGGTCTCAGCCCGGAAGGCCCAGCCCAGGCCCCCAGCCTGCCCCCCTGCCTGCCTCCCCTTGCCCGGCCTCCCGCCTGCTCTATGAAAATTTAATGCTGGGTAATGACAGTCTGGGCTAATGAAAGAGGCTTCTCTTCTGGCAAAAAGAGAAAAACAAACAAAAATCAACAACCTGCAAGGGGGCATTAACTTTTCATGAGCTGCTCTCCCCAGTGACCCCCGCCCTGCTCACCCAGGCCTCACCGGGCCCCTCCTTCACGCCTTCCCTGAGGAAGCTGGGACTGGGTAGCCGGCGGGATGGGGAAACTGGAGGGGACCTGACTCCTGTCTGGGGCATCTCTTTGGGGCTCCCACGGAGGCCATGGTGGGGGGAGACCAGTCCTGAGGCCCATGTTGGGCTGTGGGGTGGGGCGTCTGCCCTGAGACCATCTAGGCAGGCACAGAGCTGGGGGTGAGCCCAGAGCCGGTGGGAGGAGAGGACCAGCTCGGGGACCCTGCAGCGCGCAGTGCCCTGCAGCCTGGCTGCTGCCTGCGGCTACAAGTGGCTAAGAAAGGGGCACGGAAGCCTTCTGCTCTCTTTCCCTCTCTTTGTGGCATCCTGGAGAGCCATTGGCTGCTGCCTGTGATATCCTGAGAGATGCGACAATTAATTTTCTTTTAATCAAGGTCGGATGAAGTAAATTGGTGCGGTTCTGCAGCCCTTCATTTTCTGTTTTTGCAGCGATGCAAAACAAATATGATCAAATTATGCTCCTTCTCACCTTATTGAATTAGGAAGCATGACTGATCAGAGGGAGTGGAAATGTTCTGTACCACATAGAAGCCCCCTATTCCTTCCCCGCCCTGGTCTCTGCCTCCCTGGACTCAGAGCAGGTGAATGAATGAAAGGATGGATGGATGGATGGATGGATGCGTGTTTGGGATGGAACTGGCTCGGGCTGGTTCTGAGAAGCACAGCTCTGGTGGGAGCCAGAGTCACATTGGCGTGGATCTCTGGAAGTCACTTGGTTTCTTCACAGGATATGCTGGTACAGGGGAATCAGCTGTCACCCTCTGGGAGCTGGCCCGGGCCTCACTTGCTTGTGGCTGTGTCACTGGTGTCACTCAGAGACCTGGACTCAATGCCACCATTGTCAGAATTTCAAGATAGAGTAGGAAGACGTCAGAGCTGGTCTGCAAATGTAAGTTGGTACCACATGCTTATAATTCCAGTACTCAGGAGGCTGAGACAGGAGAATTCCTGAGAATTCAAGGTCAGCCTGGGGATGTAGTGAGTTCAAGGCCAGTCTGTACTACATAGTGAGACTGTTTCAAAAAAACCATTAAAAAAAAAATGAAGTCAGTGTCAGCTGCCAGGGACACCTAGGTGGTACTTCAGGTTTGCAAACATAAAGGCTGAAGGCCAGAACTGCTGGGGCCTCTCTGGGAGAGGCCGGCCCGTCTGCTCCAAGGGGACAGCTTTGCCTCGCAGGTAGGAATGTGTGCTGTCACACCTGGGTAATGTGGGATCACATCCTGAACATCACCATAGTCACCATCTAGGGCTCAAATGCATTAGGTGACAGCGTACTCAGGTGACCTAGATTAGTCACACAAGCACCTTTTATTGTCACGCCTCTGGTCCTACTATGAATGGCAGCTGGGGCTGGACAGGGAAAAGCCTTGAATGCCACACACAGAGGCGGAAAGACCAGGCGGGAGCTTCTCAGGCTGCCCAAGGACCCAGGAAGTTGGAAGTCTGGGACAAACCCATCTTGTGGATTCTAGGAGAGCTGGTTGTTTGAAGGACACTGCTCTGGCCTGGTATGGATTAACCCTCCCGTTTATCAGGTTGTAAATCAAAACAGTCCATCTCCATCACAGCAAGGCTGCTGGGATGCCTGGCCTCTTCTCTGTGATTCTCTAGTGTTCTGGAACCTTCTGGCCTCCCACTGTGGGCGGAGCCTTATCCCGGGAAGTTGAGGGGGAGGGTACCCAGCTCTGGTCACTGCCCCGAGGAGCCTCAGTGCAAACTCCCACTGTGCCATACCTCTCACAAGGAACTACTACTCAGATTGTTCTTCATTATGGCTGAGCGCCACTATGTCTGTACTCAACAGGTACCATCAACGTGAGTAAAAAGAAGTAAGAAACAAACGAGGCAATGCACATGTGAACGGACCCTTGCCCCGACCCAGAAGCAAAAGGCCCAAGGCTGCTGAGTGACCCTCAGAGCGTGGTGACCCCGTGGCTCCCAGAGCCTGTGGGTAGGGAGGCTGTTGGGAGGAGGCCTGGAGTTTTTGTTTTTGATTTTGGTACTTTTGAGGCAGGGTCTTGCTAAGTAGCCCAGGCTGGCCTCGAACTTGTAGCAATCCTCCTGCCTCAGGCTCCTGAGCACTGGGATCACAGGCGTGCATCACAGTGCCCGGTGTGAGCTCCCCAGCTTTGCACAGGTCCTCTGTAAGAAGGTGGGAGAAGTGGCTCTGGGGAGGCTCGGGGCTGAAGGAGTCTGTGAGGAACCAGGGCTGCTCAACTCCTTCTCTCTCCCAAGGAGCCTGCCATGGAGCCCCAGGCCCACAGGGCAGCTTCCTGAGGCTCTCCCAGGGACTCCCTTTGGACTTCCTCTCTATCCCTTGGACGGTGATTTGAATGTGATGGACCCTGCTGGCCCTGCCTCAGGGGACTTGCCAGCTAACTCTGGGTCCTCAGCCCAGCCAGGGTGTGGAGTGAGGCTGTGTCCAAGCCCGGAGCAGACAGGTGACCCTGGGCACGGCCCCCTGGCCTTCCCCTGCATGTACCGGCTGTGCCTCAGGCCCAAGGAGCAGCCTGCAGGACCAGTCTGGGTGGGGACTGTTCCTCAGGGCTGAGCCATTTTTCCGGGGGTGCAGCTGGTGACCCAGATGGGGAAGGCGGTGAGGTCCGTTTATCTCTGCCATCTCCCCAGTACCACCCCTTCCCCTTCCGCTTCCTGCCCTATCCCTCCCTCCGGCTGCTCAGCCCAAAGCTGGGGGCTTGCTCTGCCGTCCTCTTTGGCCTCGGACTCTCCTTCTCCAAGTTCCCTGACAGTAGTCCTAGCTGCCATCCCTTGAGCGCTCGCCAATTGCCAGCTGCTTTTAGACATTAAATGGAACCCTTCTATTTGCCAGGTAAATTGTTACTATTATTATCCCATTTTACAGATGGCATCAGAAAGCCCCAGAGAGGTGAGCGGCTCGCCCAGGGTTAGAACTAGGAGTGGCCGGGCTAGGAGTTAACTCAATCACACCCACAGCAGAGCTGTGATCCTTTCAGGATGCTTTGTGCCTTTGGCTTTGTTGCTTCCCCCTCACTCCCCCAGGGTCCTCCCTCCTCTCAGATACCCTGGCCTCAGCAGCATCTCCAATTTCTGTGACATGGATTTGTCCTCATCCCAGCCTCCCGTTGGCTAGAACAATCCCTAAACCAGACAGATTAATGGGTCACCTCTCTCCAGGAACTTACTATTTTGTTTTGTTTTTTGAGACAGAATCTTGATATGTAACTCAAGCTGGCTATGAACTCACTGTGTAGCCCAGGCTGGCCTTGAGCTTGCAGAAATGCTCCTGCCTCAGCATCCTGAGTGCTGGGATTACATGTGGGCACCCCCACACTTAGCTTCCAGGAACATGGTAACTGGGGCAGAGGAACCTTCTTGAGATGCTACACATCTGGTGGGCCCCTCAATCTGCTCCAGGGGGAGATTGGTGCCACGCCCACTGGCAGCTGTGCCCCTCCTCTGTCGAAGCTGGGATGCTCCAGGAGCCTTGGGGGAGGGGCGGCACCCGGGTGGGGGTGCACCCAGCTGGTGAGCGGTGATCCCTCCTTATCCGGCATCAGGGCATCCTGCTTTTCCAGGCTGAAGTTTCAGATCTCGCTTTCACGTTGGCCTTTGATCACTCCCGGAGCGGGTGGCAGTTGGGCCAGGGAGCTGTGAGGGGTGTAGGGGAGAGTGGATTCCAAGGTACAAGTATCTGCTGTCAGTGGCGACAGTCGGAGGACAAATGAGGAGGGGGCAGTGGGAGGGTTCTCTGAGGACAGGCCCAGCCTGTGCTGCCTCTGTCCCTCCCTGGAAGATGCCCCCTTTTTGTTTCCTAACGAAAATAGCTTTGGTGGACGTTGCTGCCATTTGATTATTAAAGTCACATGTATTGGTTGTACAAGGTTCAGACAACACAGGAAAGAAGTCACTGCCGGTGGCAGACACTGGGGAAGAAATGGCTGTCTCCACAAGCACCCGCTCAAGGGGCTTCCGTGCTGTGGCCCGGTAGGTGGCTCGTGGCAGATGATCGGAACCTGCCTCATCTCCAGCCCAGGCCCTGACCGTCGTCGCATCCGGCAGCTGCCAGTCCAGGCTCTGGAGCTGGCTCTCTGATCATCCCTGCCTTCTGATTGCTGAGATCACTTCGGGCTCTGCCCTGCCTGGCCAGGCCCTTGTTGGCTGTCCCCCTTTTGAGTCCCCCTCTCGGTCCCTGCTACCAGGGACAGCTGAGCACTCATCCCCTCTTCTCCAGATCTGTCCGTCTGTGCCCTGTCCACTTGGTTAGCAAGGACATGAGTGCTCGGGGCAGCTGAGAGGCCAGAGGGCTTTGGTGGAAGGAGTGTGGGTATGAATCCAAGGGCCGTGGCTCCGGCAACTCCTGGCTCTGCACCAGCCGAGGGATCTGAACCATCTTCTGGCTTTGTGAACCTTGATTTTCTAAGGGAGGAATGGGGAATGATAAACCTGCTGTCAGGGCTGCTGTGGGGGTCAGGGGGCTGGTGTGAGCACCCTACATCCTGAGCTTGGGAGACTTGGTGGGAGTAGATTGTTTGAGATAAAGCCCAGGCCAAGGATTTGTCCAGATGAGGCAGGCGGCCTGATACCTGTCTGTCTGTCTATCTGTCTGTCTGTTTCTCTGTCTCTCTGTCTCTCTGTCTGTAGCTCTCTCCTGGTGAGGATCGAACCCAGGGCCTCACACGTGCTAGACAAGCACCCAACCACTGAGTTACATCCCAGCGCTGATCTTCCTATTTGGATCCTGCACTTCACAAATTCGCACGCAAATACTCATTGCAAAGAAATTAGAAAACACATCCAGGGTCTAAGAAGCACATGTCATTCCCTGGCGATTAGAGCCCTGTGAATTAACTGCTGTGAACATTTTCTGGTCATGGATCTGAAGGGCAGAGGCGCCGGTTCCCCTGGGAGGTGAGGACTCCATCTTTGGCATGCGAGACGGAGGGTAGACTGGGGAGGGCCCGTCCCAGCTGTGCAGGCAGCATCTGTGGATCCGCTGGCGGAGGAAATCGAGGAAGACTTAGTGCCTGCTGGGTCTCCTGGAGGTGACAGCCTCAGAGAGCTCTGAAAGTTGAGGGTAGAAGCACAGGGCTGAGAAGTTGTGCCAAGTGGCCCTTAGGAGGGGACAGCACTTCCAGAGGGGAGGAAGGTGGGCAGGAAGGATCGTGTGTGGGGGGCTGGTGGATGAAAAATGGTGGTGGGCTTGGAAAGTGCGTGCGTCAGCAGCGGGCAGCCCCACCAGCACTCAGAGCTGCCAGGCAGGGAGGCACTTTCAGGGCGAGTGGAGAGAGGGCCAAAGAGCCGGGCTGAATCATAAATCTCGGGCAGGGCCAACACACACCCCAAGATCCCAGTCTCCTTCTGCTGCTCCTGGGGGACCATGCGTCGGGGGGGGGTCCTCCATCACTCTCCCTCATCCCTGCACCGTCCCCGTCTCCCCAGGAATGTCCTTCATCCGGCCCGCAGGGTTCATGTCACCCCACGGAGTGCGGGCTCCGTGCCACTGTACACTTCGGAGAATCATTAGCAGAAATCATTAGCTAGAATACAGCCTCCCCCATAAATCTCCAGCACCTGGATCGTTTGTCCATGCCTAATTTCCATCTCCCGAACTTTATGATTTGTCCCTCGTTTGATGAGCATTTCTCCCATCAATTGTGCCATAAGTGCTTGCAGAGAGAGACCCCCCATGCTGACCCCATCTCTGAGGGACCGGCTTGTGCTCCTGCCCCACCCACGCTGGGGAGGCCCCTCCCCAGCCCCCTCCTCTGCGTGTCCCTCAAAGGGTAGCTTAAAGAGGACGCTGTGCCCGTGGCCTCCCTCAATGGTGGGACACAGAGCCAGGCCGCGCGTGTGGCTGGGAGGCTGGGGAAGGAGGAAGGTGGGAAGGGCCCGTGGCTGTGTTGGACGGCTTGGAATTCCCATCTGCGTCCCAGCTCACTGAGGGACCCTGAAAATGTTGCTTTCCCTCTCTGAGCCTCGATTCCTTCATGTGACGCACCCAAATAACACTGCCCATTTTTCAAGGTTGTTTGCAGAGCTCGTTCATTCAGTCTCTCGCGTTTTCACACATCTTGAGACCATCTGTTCCGTGAGCACCAGTCACTCCCAGGAGCAGAGAGAATCAGCGAAGACGCACGCACTGGTGGGACTGGGAGCAACCTTGGTAGTTAAGAGCCAGGGCCTTAAACTGGTCATGGTGTCACAAATCTGTCATCCCAGCACTCTGGGAAGCTGAGGTAGGAGGATCCTAAAATGGAGCCCCAGCCCAGACAATGTAGCAACTTAGTGAGACCCCCATCTCAAAATGTAAAAGCTAAAAAGATGTGGGGATGGAGGTCAGTGCAAAGGCCAGCGCAAAAAGTCTTGAAAGAGAGAGAGAGAGAGAGAGAGAGAGAGAGAGAGAGAGAGAGAGAGAGAGAGAGAGAGAGAGAGAGAGAAGAAAAGGAAGGAAGGAAAGAAGGGAAGGGAAGGAAGTGAAATCAGGGCACTTGTGCCTGGGAGATGTAAGTTTGAATTCCAAATTTACCCCTGACTAAGGTGTGACCTCAGCCAAACCACCCAACTTCCCAGAGCCTTGGTTTCCTCCTCGGCGATGTGAGGACCTAACACACAGCAGTGAGGACCCGTTGCCAGGCTGTGTCGTCACCCGGGGACCCAGAGAGAAACCATGGCTTTCCCAAGTGTAAACGAGAGGGTTTAGCAAAACACAGAGGGGCAGAGTCCAAGCCTCCACCTCCAAGCCCAGGAGGAGTAAGTGGAAATGGCTGCCGCACCCCAGGAAGGACGGAGAGGAGGCCGGGGCAGATCTGGAATTCTGTCTTGAGGATGCACCTGCTCCCTGGGGCTGGGGTGAGGACAGGGAATCTGGGAATTGGGAAACCTGGGCAGTTCTGCCCACCTGGAAGCCTCCCACAGGGAAGGTGAGCCTGTGGCTTTGGGGACATGGATCACCCCATGGTTGGGGTGAGGGTGCCGGGGGAAGCCAGGGCCCCTCTGAGTTCTTGTGAGCCGGGGTCGGGGGCAGGGCTGGGCTGGGAGGACCAGGATCCTGGGGCCCACGGTAGTGGGCAGGTCACCTGGGGAGGAAGCTGTGATTCCTACCTAATTTTTAGGGACTGGGTCCTGCCTGGAGGGCCGGGGAGGGACAGGCCGGCCCAGTGATCTCCACACCTGGATCTGCCAAGTGGGAGGCTGGTGAGCCTGCTAGTTGGGTGTATAAGTCATGCGGCCTAGGGCAAGTTTCTTAACCTCTCTGGGCCTCAGTTTCCTTCCTTAAAAAAAAGAAAGAAGTATAATAACCTCACCGGCTTCGTAGGCTGTTGAGAGGATTAATTATATCCCTCTCAGCATAGTGCCTGGCACATAGTAGCTGTTTAGCCAGCCATGGTCCCAAGAGCTGCACCAGCTGGGATGGGTTTCTTGGTTTTATCAGCTTCTCGTGGAATCTGCACAGGGCGGGGTATTCATGCCCATTTCCCAGGTTGAGCACCCGAGGCCCTAATACTGCATAGAACCCTGCCTGGCTCCCAACAGAGGTCCAGGTGAGAACGCAGGCCTATTGGCTCCCCACTTCACCATGCCTGGCGGCAGACCCCAATTTGTCTACCCCCAAACTGTGAGTTCCCAGGAGCCAAAAACAAAGACCTGGGTTTTGGATTCGTCAACACACTCCCACGGGTGACTCACCGAGAGAGCGGAGTGCACCGGGATCTGCCCCAGCACATTCCCGCCCCCCAGCCTGGCAGCAGGAGCCCCACTGACCTGAGGGCCTGGAAGCGGGGTGCGGAGAGGGAGGGGACACAGGGTGGTGGACAGAGCAGCGAGGCCCTGTCCCTGGTCTTGGGGTGCCCTGTGCTCAGGTGGCCTGGGCCCCTGGGGACACTCAGGGAGCACCCCGAGCCTGGGGGCAGGACAGCGGAAGTGAGGTGGGAGTGGGCTGTGGGGCTGGCGCCACGGGCTGGGAGTAGCTTGCCAATTTTACCGGTCACATTATCTTTTATGGGTATCCTAAAAAGAATGTCAGGCACTAGAGGGCTTTTTTCCCTCTCTTTCTCTCTCTCTCTCTCCCTCCCTCTCTGACTGCTCACTGAGGTCCCTACTGCAGCGATCTCCTCACAGGCCTGCCCCCACTGGGAACGGGGTCTCCCCCACCCCCAAGCGCTAGCTCTGGGGGTGTCAGCTGCTTCTCTGGTGGAAACAGATTGCGCTGGGAGGGCCTGCTTGTCCTGTCACGGACGTCAACTCTAGTCCCCAGACAGTTTCCCACTCCTCCCCTGGCTCTGTCCACAGTGGGGGTCAACTCACTCCCGGTACCAGCTCTGAGCCCTGTGCAGGCCACACTGGAAGGGAGTCCACTCCCCGTGAAGGCCCTCTTCACCTTTCCTGGGGGTCCACTGCTCCATGGTCCTCTCTTTAGTGATACCCTCCCAGAAAGAGCTTCCTGAACCCTTGGGATCCTCAGAAACCAGCCCTGGGCTCAGTTGCTCTGTTCTGCAGAGAAAACCCTTCCTGGGGTCTTGATGGCTCTTTACCTCCAGGTTGTCAGAGTCTGGAGCTTGGGCATCTTACCCATCATTTGGGTAAACACCATCTGGGAACTGCCAGGGGAAGACCTAGAAGACTGGCACATGCTTAGGAAAGAGAGGCGTGTTCTGAGATAAGGTCTTGCTGTGTGGTCCAGGCTGGCCTTGAACTTACAGCAGTCTTCTTGCCTCAGCCTCCTGGGTGCTGGGAACACAGGCGTACGACACCATACGTGGCCATGCTAAGCCTCTTGGAGTCCACATGGCCTGACGGTTAGAGGTGTTGATTTTGGGTTCTCCTGCAGTGCTGGTGCTGGCCCAGCTTCACCATTCCTGGGCCTCTATGTCCTCGTCTATAAAATGAGCTGATTATGACAGTCCCACCTGGTAAGGTTGTTGGGAGCAGTGCCACGTGCCAGGCACCCAGCAAGTGCTCGATAAATGCTGTAGCCAGTGTTATTATCAATCACATGGGGATGTCTACACTTCTGCTCTCCATCCTGGGGACTCCAGCTAGAGGGGACAACGTGGGCTGACGTGGCAGCAGGAGGCAGTGAGGTGACACAGCAGGAAGAACTCCAGGCTGTGATACCAGGGGTGAGGAGGACCAGGGTGCGACAGCTCTCTCCTCTGGGATGGTTAAGAAAGAGGAGAAACTGGCAAAGACAGTCAGTGCCGCCCAGGAAAATTAGGCAGCAGGCCTAATGAAAACCAGGCAGCAGGCCAAGTGAGAAACGTGACCTTCCTCCTGCTCTCCTTTCCCTTTGCTGTGCCTGGGACAGGGCAGGGTCTTTGCTTCCAGCTGGGACTCAGATGGGCTGAGCAGGCCCACATGGGGGTGAGGAGGAGAGGGAGCCCTTGCCCGCCCCAGGAAGCCTGGCTTTCTGAGGCTGGGCCCAATCTCACACCTTCTTCCTGTGAAGGGGCCTGATGGGGGACTGAGCCTCCTGCTGGTGTCTTGGGTTTCTTTGAAAAGCTGATGGAAGTTGGATGTGTTATCCCACAATGCACCTGTGTCACTTACGTCAAAGCTGATGCTCTGGGCCTCCACCTTCAGAAGGAAACGGATGAATTGGATGGCATGTCCCATCTATCCTCTGGCTTCCACTCCCCTTCCTGAGGGGTATCTCCCTCAGATGGAGGCACAGCTCTGCTAGAGAACTCAGGGCCTCAAGGGCAGGAGCTTTGTTAGTTCTGTTTACTGCTGTGCCACTTGCACCCTGAACAGGGCTTGGTATGTAGTAAATGATCAATAAATATGT